AGTATTTAATACATGTTATTTTGGTTTGTGTAATTGTGTTAGTGTGTTATAACTTATAGGATTATAGATTTATAGGAATACAATACTAGGTAGTGTTATTGTACGTCTATACAGTATTTTTCTTTTTTTTTAAGGATATTGTACAGTGATTTTTTTTTATTAAAAAAAATTAACACAGTGAAAAAATTGATTGGCGGGCTAGTCCGCCCCGCCAGCGGGCTTTGGTATGGCGGGGCGGGCCGACCACTTTCAAAGCCCGCTAAGAGGCGGGCTTTTTTGCCCGTCCCGCTACGAGGACAGACTTTAGTGTGTTTTGGCCTGTCCCGCCCCGCGAGACCGTTTCGACGGCTCTAGACAATACATTTCCCCATATAATTAAATTTTGGCAAATTTTATACTTAGAGAAAATTTCAATTTTGGTCTACTGACTATTGGAGTTGTATTAATTGCAACACTTGACTTTCAAAAATGTTAATTGAGTACCTTGACTATGCAATTTCTTTCAATTTTGGTCACTCCGGTCAAATTACCGGTAAAATCTCACCGAAAAAATTTAATAAGTCAAATAAGGAGGGTATTTTAGTCATTTACTCGTCTTTTCTTTCTTCCCCAGTGAGTTTCTCCATTTCCGGCGAAATTTGATGAGTTTCCCGATTCTCTTAGGAGAATCAAAAGAATGTAATGTAGTTTCTGTCAGAAATAAATTTGATACTTCAAAGTTTTGGTTTACTTCAATTACTGTTCATCTCTGTTGAAATCCTTGAGATTATGAGGAATCAGAAGCCCACTTTTCTTTTGATTTTAGCATTTTCAAATCTAAATCTCTGTGCCTTGCCTCCCCAACTCCAAACTCCTTTTAACTCTCCAGGTTTCTAACAGTGAACCCGTGGTTTCAAATTCTACAAACAAGCGCAAACCCCTAAGCTGGCAAGGGCAAAGAAAGCTCAAACGGCAACAAAAGCAAGTTGAAGAGGATCAACAAACTCTGTCCAACTTAGAATCGGCTATTCCGCAATCAAACATTGGGTTCAAAATGTTGAAACAAATGGGTTACGTTCCTGGCTCAACGTTAGGCAAGGATGGCTCAGGCAGGGCTGAACCAGTGGCTCTGGAAATTCGAAGGGGCCGTGCTGGCCTTGGGAGGGAAGATTCAAGATTAGAGAAGGCAAGGAAAGAAAAAGAGACTTGAAATCGAGAGAATAAAGGAAAAAGAACTTTACTCTGCCGACTCCCATCATCGAATTTCGCCGGAAATGGAGAAACTCGCCGGGGAAGAAAGAAAAGACGAGTAAATGACTAAAATACCCTCCTTATTTGACTTATTAAATTTTTCCGGTGAGATTTTACCGGTAATTTGACCGGAGTGATCAAAATTGAAAGAAATTGCATAGTCAAGATACTCAATTAACATTTTTGAAAGTCAAGTGTTGCAATTAACACAACCCCAATAGTCAGTGGACCAAAATTGAAATTTTCTCTTTATACTTATTATGAGTTAACTTTTAGCAAAATATAATTTGATTAATTAAAGCCATAAAGTCATTAACAAAGACGAGTTAAAACTTATTGTTAAAATTTATTCACTAATATAATTCCATGAGGAATGGAATAGAATATAAATCTGCAAGGCCTACTAATTTCTGGATTAGATTCGTGCACGCATACAAGCCCACGCGAGAAAAAGCTTCTATACTATACAATTTAATAAACCTTAGAAATGCTCTTGTATAAATAGTGGTGCAAACCCACTTCCCAAATCAATATGGAACAAAAGCGCAAAGGAATAAGGTTCAAATTGGCCACTGAACGTAACCTGAAAATGTAATTAGGCCACTGAACGAAAAAAAAGTGCAATTAGGCCACTGAACACTCCAAAAATGTGTAATTTCACCTGATAGCAGGTTACCCTCAATTTTAGCAGGTTATTTGCTTACGTGGCATCTGAGTTGGCATTTTTAATAAATTTTAAATCATTTTTAATAAATTTTAATAATAAATTTTTATTTAAAAAATAAAAACGACTTTATTTTATTTTTTATTTAATTTTTTTCAATTTTTTATAAAATCTATTATTAAAATTGTTGAGATTAACAAGAACAAGAAAAATAATAATGACAAAATGGTAATGAAGACAAGATTTACGTGGTTCGGCAATGTGCCTACATCCACGGGAGTGAAAGTATTCTCTTATTATTTGTAATGGTAATGGTGGTGACACACAACCCTTTAGGGATACAACCAATATATTTATAGGCATCCAATCCCTATACAATAGATCTACCCGTTTCACTCCTACTCCTAGTATGAGACAAACACTTATTCCTAATCCATATATGAGACAAACTCAACAATCTCCACCTTGGCGAATATGTTCTTTAGGAGAAAAGATAACTCAACAATTCTCCACCTTGACGAATATGCTCTTTAGGAGAAAAGACTTATCTCACCATCTCCACCTTCACATATATGCCCTTTAGGAGAAAAGACTTCTCCACCTTCGCAAATATGTCCTTTAGGAGAAAAAGATAACTCAACAAATCTCCACCTTAGCAAATATGTCCCTTAGGAGAAAAGACTTATCTCATCATCTCCACCTTCACAATTATGCCCCTTAGGAGAAAAAAAACTTATCTCACATATACACATGGGTAGGAACAACCATGCTCATCCCAACTAGTCAGCCACATGCATACGCAGCATCAAACGTTACCCAGTGCATGTACACGAACCGCTTTGTTCCAAGCCATTCGCCCCTCAGCCGTCGACCTGTTATACCGCCGCGACTCATGCTAACTGCCCCGTTTAGCTGACTTCCTGCATCCGGCCCATACCAGGTCCATATCCCCTCCTGGTATCCACGCTGCCCCAACACAACAGCGCCCCTACAAAGTCACACTAAACTCGTGTGCCTTGCCCAATGCTCCACTAACCAGCAATTACCACTGGCCAGCAACACGCACAACGCAGCACCAAACGTTTCCCAGTGCATGTTCACGAACTTATTCGTCGTCCCGAGAAGTCCTCCCATACCAAACCCATATCGGCCCTAACCAGTGCCATACCGGCACATACCGAGGCCATATAAGCCCATACCGATACCAGCCGTGACTCGTGACAAGCCCGACCCATACCAGGTCCGCGACCCCTCCTGGTATCCGCACTGCCCAACACCACAGTGCCCCTCACCACCTTCTCATCTAGCATCTAGAAACGCCCAACAAGTCCAAACAAAACCGCTAGAACATCACCTTCACTATAATAAGATTCATCAGCATGTACCACGTCCGTAGCTTCCTGCTTCTTCAACTCCTTCCAATCAGCCTCTTCCAGATCAGCTGGCTTTTCCGCCTTCAAGGTTTTCAGAAGGCCTTGTTGTGCCAACAAATCTTTTACCCTAGATTGCCATAACCCAAAATTCCCTGTACCATCAAATTTTGATACCTCGAATTTTGTACTTGAACGGACCATCTCAACAGTGCTCTGATACCAATTTGTTGAGATTAATAAGAACAAGAAAAAATAATAATGGCAGAAAGGGTAAAGAAGGCAAGATTTACGTGGTTCGGCAATGTGCCTACATCCACGGGAGTGAAAGTATTCTCTTATTATTTGTGATGGTAATGGTGGTGACACACAACCCTTTAGGGATACAACCAATATATTTATAGGCATCCAATCCCTATACAATAGATCTACCCGTTTCACTCCTACTCCTAGTATGAGACAAACACTTATTCCTAATCCATATATGAGACAAACTCAACAAAAATTAATTATTAAAAATTATTTAAAAATTATTAAAAATGCCAACTCAGCTGCCACGTAAGCAGGTAACCTGCTAAAATTGATGGTAACCTGCTATCCGGTGAAATTGCATACGTTTGGAGAGTTCAGTGGCCTAATTGCATGTTTTTGGAGTGTTCAATGGCCTAATTGCACTTTTTGTTCGTTCAGTGGCCTAATTGCATTTTCAGGTTACGTTCAGTGGCCAATTTGAACCTTATTCCAAAGCGCAAATTATATCGTGTACCGCGGTGCATAATCGATTATGCACCGCGCATAAAAACGACGTCGTTTTATTTAATGAAAGAAACGGAATCTGTTTCGTGTTGTTCCGCACCCTTCCACAAAAAATAACTCTGTTCTTCAGTTTCATTTTGTATACACTGCAGTTTCAGTTCAACACAATTACAGTTTCATTTCGATATAATTACAATTTCATTCAATATTTATACACTCAAATATGTGAAAATGTTATTTAATTTTATTTTATATACAACTATAGTTTCATTTCAATTATACACTGCAGTTTTAACCACTTCTTTCATGTTAGGATTGAGTTTTCGCTAAGGCACAACTAGGTTGACATCATTCTCCAAGAGGATCCTTCGAGAACAAAAAGGACTGATTTCCTTGATATATGAAATCTTCCAAGCTGTTGCTCCTTTATGCGTTTTCAACACTTGCAGAAAGTTTTTCTTTTTGCTCAGGCTTGAGATTGGAAGCAATAATTACTAGAATCTTTGAATTAGTTTACAAGAAGGAATATTTAAGATGTTATGGAAATTTCTTCAACTCCAAGTAGTTAATGTTGTCAGTGTCAAAGGCATTGGCAGGAGTAATCTCAAAGGTCCACTTGGGATCTAATGTGGTAAATAGCCGCTTTTACTATTATCTACATCTACAATTTTTCTATCTACAATTTTAATAAAAGTCAATAATGTTAGACTCCTAACAGGAACTAAAAAAATGTCGGTACAATAATATGCTAATAAAAATTGTACTTTGTATTTTTTTAATTGTACAATCCCAAATTAAATTCCTAATCTACCATCATTCTTTTTAATTTTACCAAATTAGATCTGTCAAATTAAACAGATTCTGTTAAGTTGAAGTAGCGGTGGCAATTTTGTAGTTTAAGGGAAATTGGATGGTAGTTTCTAACTGATGGTCTTCTTCAAAGAAATTAGGGCAGCAAAACTACCGACAATCGAAAGAATTTCGTCTGTGCCGACTACCGATGGGAGAAGCACAAGCTGAACCATATGATATTGACAATCGGAAGAATTTGGTCTCTGCCAACTACCGAAACGAGAAGTACAAGCCGAACCAGGTTTTGTTTTTTCTTTCTTTTATTTTTCTACTTTCTTTTATGTGCAATTTTATTTTATTTTTTAATTCACAATTTCATTTATTGCCATCATAAGCAATGTATATCTATGAGTTTTTGTTGGAGTCTGGTATTCTAAATTTAGTATTTCTAAGCATATGTATGCACATACATGTGATGCAATTCATAAGTTGGATTAACTAAGTTGACTATGTTTTTTTTTGAAAACACTAAGTTGACTATGTGAAACACAAGTGATGTTCTCATTTTATTCATGCAAGGAGATTGGGGACTTGCTCTTATTCTGTCATCTTCGTTATCATGCATTCATGCTCGTGCTTGTCCTTTTCTTCTTAGATCTCTTTCAAGCAAACAATTTTGGGAGGAATTGCACATTATATTATTATTATAGTATACTGTTTCAATTTGGTTGCTAACATTTATTTTATGGTTTTAGATCAGTTAGAATTCGACTATGACTTTTATTGTTCAGATGCATTAACGTGAATATGTAGAATGAAATGCGAGGAATTATCATGGTGGATAGTAATGTAAACTTTGTTCATCACTGCAGTGTTATTATTGAGGCACTTAAGGTGGATAGTCTGCAGAGACTTTGTTCATCACTGGAGCCAATTTTTTGGAGAGTTGTAAGATTATGTCTTTTTATGAAATATCTTTGTTCACAAAGCAATTAGAAGCAGGAATTATGCCAAAAACATGAATCAGTTGGAGGAAGTAGTGAAACACTATTGTTACATGTATCTTAAGAAAAATCATAACTTTAGTGTCCTTTAATCTCAATGTATATTATTTTCTATGTACAGGTTAGTGAAGAAGTGCAACGTGCATTGGCAAAGTTGGGCCTTTGCCCAAATTAATGCAAGATTTGGCTTCACATATCAGTGCTTATGGTTTTGGTTTGCCCCTCTTTATGAGGTTTATGTTGGTTCTTCAAAAGTGAGGTCCATCTTAGATTTCAACAGCCTAAGCCGTTTTTTCTATGATTTTATGATACTTTGATTTTCTATATTGTTAGGTAATTTTTTGAAAGGTCGACCTTTAATCTATGATGACTAGCTCCAATATCAATACTCCTTTTTTAGTGGAAAAAAAAGACTACAATTGAGTTGGGGAAATTAAGGTAGAATTAGAATATAAATCCAGCTCTCAATAAATAAGGCATAGGGACAAACATTTGATTGAAAGTTCAGAAGATTTTAGCAATATTTAGGTATCTTTAGCATTTCCCAATAGTAATGTAGCTCCTTTATAACATTTAGAGTTGTTATCTATTGTTCCCAATTAAATACTTGCTTGGAAGCAAATCCTTAAGGATCCCTCAACATAGGAGAAATTTGAATTGTCTTTGAAGACAGACAACTCAAATACCCAAGCCAGATATTGGCTGTCAAAAGTGCATCTCAAGTACCATGCCCCTGGCGCTTCTAAATCCATGTAAGAAGTTTATCTGTTCACCTTGTAAACATAAAACATATTTTCTATTGCATAATCTCTATCTAACTAATTTGAATGTTAATTGGCATGCAGAATAACCTGCAGGCTTCTTATTATTCAATTTGCTGATATACTTAAAATTAATATTTCTTCATTTTCCTTTGTCATAATAGCGGTGTTGCTTTGTTAGTTGAAGTTGCGGAAATGGGTGATCCAGATGCTCAGTATGAATTAGGTCGTCATTTAAGAGTTGAGGTTAGCTTTCTTTCATTGGGATTATGTTTTTATTTTGTCATGGATAATGAATATTTGTGTTAGACAGCTAGCTATATAGTTGTTTATATTTGATGGTGTTGTAGGAATGTGACTTGGGTTTCGTCTATGATTCCTTGTGCTTGCTTCCTGGGAATGCTAGATTAAGTTGTTGACAGATTCATTGTGCTTGCTTCCTGGGAAGGCTAGATCACAACCACCCGTAAACAAGATGCAATAAAGACACAACCAGCAAAAAGGAAACTCAACTTCACTAAAGATGGAGAAGATGAAGACAATTCCGAGCCCCAACAAACACACACTAAGAAAAATTAATTTACTCTACTCAAATTAGTACACTTTATCCAACTGTTTTCTTCTGGTGGTTGATCAGGATAGATAGTCAGGTTTAGTTAGTGGTTTATCTGTTTTTACTTACTTTTTTATATATATATAATTTAACTATTTACAATTTCTTTATCTTTTATTAAAATATATAAGCACCGAGACTATTTTTTATCTTTTATTAATTTAACATTTTTTCCTTTCATTATTATATGAATACTTTAACTAATCAAGGAACACTAATTTAAAAATATACATTGGGCATTGGTTAAATCGCGCAAAGCGCGTGTGCTAACTAGTAATACGTATAAAGTACAAGATCGGACCGGATTTTGACCCTAGTTTGGTTTGCTTGTTGGTTTAAGGTATTTGGGCTCGGTAAGTGACATGAGACTGGAAACTCCCGAGCTCAGTAAGACTATGTAGAAATTATTTCGGGTTAGTTTGAATATATCCAAAAATTTATTTTTATCAATTTTAAATTTTTTTTAATAATTTTATTATTTTTGTTTTTATATTTTTCCATATACTATAAAACTAAAAATAAAACAAAATACTAATTACTAATTAAGAGACTTTTGAGAATTAATATATTATTAATTATGAAATACATTTAAATTTAAATATATTATTGGTATTATTATATTTATAATAAAATTTCGGTTAGTTCGAATTGTGGTTCGGGTATGGATATATTTTCGATATTCGAACTAAATTTATATTCGGATGTACCAAATTTTAAAATATTTGAACTGATATAACGGATTCACTCGAAATTTAAAATTCATAAATTTCAATTCGGGTTTCAGGTGGTAGTTATGCCTACCCCTATATATTCCCTATCGCATAGCCTCCTTAGTCCGTGTCCCGAGTCGGGGCAACGTGGCGAGTAGCTCAAACTACAAAACCCGATCACAGCTTACAATTAGCATGCGTTAATCGGGTTGAGATTAGGTGTAGCGCTGGCCAATGGCGAGCCATGCCGATCATCGCTCAAACCTAAGCGTTGCCACGTGTCACATCGGGGAGCTCTCCGATCCCCAGCTTGCTCGCTCGAAAATCGCTCTTGGTGGGAAAAAGGTCACTGCATCCGAGGCCACGACCTCGGTCCCAACTGGGATTCCTTTGGCAATCGTGGTACCCGTCAGCTCAGGATTTGACCTCTAAATAGCCCCGCATTCTAGCAAGCGGGACAAGGATAAGGCTATTGAGGTCGAGGTGGTCATCCCGATCAAAAGACGAAAAGGAGTTTTGTCCATGAATCACGTCCCTATAGTGGATGCGTTCCTGAGTGGGGGGAAGAACCCAACCGTCCTCATAGACAAGCTCGGAGAGTTCTTTGATGAGTATTATTTATTTTATTATTGAGTTAATACCCAAAATCGTCCTCGACTATAGTGGTTTTTCTCAATTTCGTCCTAAACGACTTTGGTGACCTAATATCGTCCCAGACTTTTGTGTTTCGCTCAATTTAGTCCCAGACTTTTGTGTTTCGCTCAATTTAATCCCTCATTTGTTATTCTGTCCATTTGGTGTTAAATAAATAGACAATTCAGTAATTTTAATATTGACATCTATTTACTCATAGACATGTGAACTGCGAAAACCTTTTTTTTTTTTTTTACGAATTACTCCCGAAATTACTCCTAAAACTGCGAATATAAAATTTGATTTGCAGGTCCGGGAGTAATTCTGGGTGTAATTCGTACAAGAAAGAGAAATTTTACACTTCACAAGTTGAAAGTAAAAAGAGATCAATATTGACATTACTGAATTGTCCCTTTATTTAACACCAATTTGACGGAATAACAAATGAAGGACTAAATTGAGTGAAACACAAAAGTCTGGGACGATATTAGGTCACCAAAGTCGTTTAGGACGAAATTGAGAAAAACCACTATAGTCAAGGACGATTTTGGGTATTAACTCTTTTATGATTTTTAATAAACTTTGTTATAATTAATATGATAATTTTTAGTCAATTGAACATACTTTCTTATTTTTAATTAGTTGTGTTAAATAATTGGGCTTTATTATTATTATTATTTGGCAGCCCATTATATTGAGTCTAATAAATGTTAGCCCATTGAATAAAAGCCTTGCCTTTCTCCTTCCTTTCGTGAGTCAACCGAGAGAAATTAGCAGAATTTCCGGCGGCAACAAACCAAGACACCGGAGGGCATGGATCGATAAGGTTTGACCGATTAATTAGCAGAGACTTCAATGGCCTTCCTTGGATCAAGGTCTTCTCCGGCTACCGAATTTAAGGAGGTGCGGTTAAGGCTGGGTGTATAAAAGGGAAGCCAATGTTCATCGTTCTTCATCACCAATCTCCTCATCTCCACACCAAAACGTTTTCCGGAGAATTCTGTCTGATTGAAATTCGACTTCGGAATTCCGGGCACCATTCTGGTTCGTCGGCATACCATATTTTGTTCGGCTAAATTATTCCACGGCAGCGGATTAAGCAAATTGCGAGCAGATTAAGCAAAGGAAGCAATTTTGGGTCCCTGGTTTCTTTTTCTTTTTCTTAATTTGAATTGCAAAAGTATGAATTGAGTTCTGTGTTGCAATGCATAGCACTTTAAGTATAATGTTAATTATCATGATTAGGCATGGTGGAGAGTCTTTTCTGCCAATTTCTAAAGAGGATAAAACCAATGAATTGCTAATTAATTTGTCCTAGGAACTGATGAATTTATTGTGAAAATTCTGTATTGATTTATGTTTTATTTTGCCAATCAGGTTAAGATTTATTATTTGGTTTTACTATTTAGTTTGATTGTGTTGATGGATGGTCAAATTTAACATAATTGAACTGATTTAAGGGAATTTTTATACTATTAATTTCATGTTCTGAATAATAAATGAGTAGATAATTTGGTTGTCTTAGTGAGTTATTTAGGGGGTGTATTCAATCATGAATTTTGTAGAGTTTTAAAGACTTTTAAAATGATAGATTTTAATAAACTTTGATTGACTTTCATAGAGTCGTTCAAAACTTTTTAAAACTTTATAAGACTCTATAAAAGTCTATATAAAAAACATTCATAGACTTTTATCGACTTTTTATTTTAAAAAGTCTACAAAAGTCATTGAAATTCTAAATTGAATACATCCTTACAAACATTCAATGATTTTTATTCTTATCATTTATAATTTTCTTACAAAACATTTATAATATATCATAAAATTCTTCTTATTATATTATTTTTGAATGCTCTTATTATATAGTTCTTCACCCATATCAACACTCTCAACATTATTATTTTTATCCATAGTATGCTGAGACTTATATGCTAATTACTTATTCTTCAAAAAAAAAATGCTAATTACTTATATATATTATTAATAAACATCAACAAAAAAACTATTTCATTAGAAATTCATAACAATATTGAACAATAAAATTTATAATAAAAGAATTAATCAAATAAAATATTTAAAAATATAATTACAAGTTGCATAAATAAAAAATAAAAATCTAATATTAATAATATATATACAAGTTTTCAAAAAAAATAATATATATAAAAAATTATACTTGATATATTGCTAGGCTTCCTGCAAAGAGCTATTATTTGCAATAGTAATTTGAGACTGTGAACAACAAGGTGTTACTGTTTGCAACTCCAAATTGTTGTTGCGAATAGTAGTTCGCTATTCGTAGTAACCTGTTGTTAATATATATATTACGAATATAAACATAATAAAAAAATAAAAATATATAAATATTTATATGAATATTATGAAACATATACTAAAATTTGAGGATGAAAATTTTGATTTGTTCATATATTTAGGGAGAATTAGAGAAAGTTAGGGATAAAAAATTCATATAAAAAATAGAAATCAATATAAACAAGCAATAATAATGAAATAGAAATAATATTATTTCGAATTTTTAGATAAAGATTGTAAAGTTCAGGAGAGAGAGAAAAATTGGTAGAGTTTAGGTATGAGGAAAATATAGGATAATGAAGAAAAAAATAATTTTATTGAATTTAGATAGGTTTATAAAATTTAAATATGGAAAAAATAAAGTTTAAATAGAGAGAGAAAACATTCAAAGTTGTTAGAAAGAAAATTTTGAAATCTTGGGGTTGATGGTTGGATTTAAACTATTTATATTAGACTAGGAAAAGTCTATAAAAGTCTTATAATTAAAAAGTCTACAAAAGTTCATAACTTTTTGAATACCACATGACTTTACTCTTTAAAAGTCTTAATCGAATACCACACGATTTTTAAAGACTCTTTAAAAATCTTGATTGAATACTGCCTGACTTTTAAAGACTCTCTAAAAGTTTGAATTGAATATCTCCAAACTTTTAAAGTTCATAAAAGTCTTTAAAACTCTATGAAAGTCATGATTGAATACACCCCCTTATTTCGTTCTTAAACTCGGATATTTCGAAATTCATTTAGGCATAATGGGTTTTAATGGTTTGATTGTTTGAATAAGTGTTTTAGGCATATGAATTGTTAAAACACGGAACTAGCTCTGGACACTAGATGAGTAGTTTAATTAATGAAAGAATAAACATTTAATTGGTTGGTATTTTAGACTTGAAATGCAGAATTAGTAATGAATGAAAGAATAAACTTTTAATTGGTTGGTAATATTTGACTTGAAATGCACAATTAGTAATGGTTTCTGATTATGTTTCTAGATTATAATTTGATTGTTAATTTGATATTTTCATTTTTGTTAATTTTTCTATTTACTTTTCTTGAGTTTTGATTTAATTATTTTGCATTTAAGTTGATCTTTATTAGCATTCAAAAAAAAAAGTTGATCTTTATTATTGTTATTTGTTTTTAGCATTTTAAATTGTTAATTTAATTGTTTTAATCAAGTTTGTAAATTGCATTATATCAATTCCATGTGTGTTCGACTATTGCTTTTGCACACTATTACTACAGTGATTCGTGCACTTGCGAGGATAATTAAATTGTCCATCATTTTTTGCAAGTGCACGAGTCAATTGTAGTTTCGAACCTACAGGGAATTGATACAATGCAATTTAGGATTTGAAATTAAAACAATTAACTTAACAATTTAAAGTGCTAGAAACAAATATCAATGCAAAATAATTGAATCAA